CCTTGGGCCATAAATAAACCAACTGCTATGTTTCAAAAACAGCTTCACTGCATTAACCCTGTAAAGCTTGACATATGAAATAATAGTCAGAAAAGGAACAGTTTACTGAAACCTTAGACGATATATATATATATGTATAGTTTTTTTGAATGTATGGATAGTCAATTTTCCTTAAGGTTCTTCAGTCCAGTAAGTGTTCATCTTGAAATGCTATATAAAAATAACAATATAAAAGTTATTCTAACGTTTACTTTAGAAAAATCTACAAAGATTTCACTGCAAAAAGACACATGTACCACAACCTGAAGGGGTTGGAAGTTTTTACCCTAAAATGCCTTTTACCTGCTCAAAAAAGTATAAACTATCATTCAGATGACAGAAGGCATGTAGACGATTGTGTACAACAATTTTTCAGCAAAGTTTTGATCATGTTATGATCATTTAGAGGTCCTTGTGTATCAAATATGGTACAGTAGGCTTTAAAGGGTTAAGCTGGTATGACCTATTGTTTACAGCATGCTTTTCTATATAAAAGGGACATTCTTTTGAAAGCTTTAAAACTTTGCAAAACAGTTACGGGTGGAACAATAATAACTTATTGTGTGTCTCTGGCCTGTGTTTTCCGCAGGTCATGGTGGTGGTCAAATACCTGTTTCAGTTTGGCTTCTTCCCGTGGAATACGGAGTATGAGCTAAAGTTAAATGAGGACAAGCCGTTCTTCCCTCCTCGCATCCTGGGCCTGGAGAAAACTAACAACTTCATCCGTTATGATTTGCTCCAGCTATTGGCCCTTTTCTTTCACCGGTCACTTCTCCAGGTATTCAGTCTGGCCTGCTCAAAAAAGCAAAAAAAAAACAAGCCTAGACGAGTTAAACTATTTCAGATGCTTACCATCTTAAAAGTTGAGTTAAAACATTAATTGGTTCTATTTAAATCTCTTCCAATTCAAAAGATTTGCATTGGTATGGCAGTTACCTTTGCACGCCTAATTTAAAAATAAAATCCAATGTTGACACATCAAGGCATTCTATATGGAATTCATAATCAATCTTGCTATACCATGACGGTGTAGTTTCTGTGAAGATTTACAATCTACAAACACCATTTGTCTTATATTAGGACTTGGCATCTAGTTTGTTCGTGATTCAACGTTTTTCATTTTGACTCTCTCAGCGTTATGGTCTCTGGGACGGCCCTCTGGAAGAGAGGAGCAATCTTTCATCTGCAGAGAAGAGCAAGAATGAAAGAGATGAGAATGTCTTTCAGCTCTCAGATGAAGAGGACAGCCGAGCACAGGCAGAGCCCGACACGAAGGTGCTGTCAATGACACCATCGACAGAAACACCGACCGATGCTGAATTACAGACTGACCCAGAACCCGACATACAAACAAATACCACAGAAACCCTTGATACAGTGAAGGAGGGTGGAAAGAAGAAGAGTCATTTCCTTCGCTTCCGCAAGAAAAAACAGTCAGAAGAAGGTCTGTTGGAAAAAAAATTATTACAGGATATAAGTATATATTTAATATACCTAAATTATGTCTATAAGATTGTACTGAGTTACCTGTACCTATTATGTGTAGTGTTATTTTGACATGTACATAAACTATCCTCTCACAGACACTAGACAGAAAGAACCCAAGAAGAAGAAGAAAAAGAAGTCAAAGAAATGCAGCGAGGACACCAGTAAAAAACTATTGAATGCTATTGGAGGAAAACTCAAAGGACTTTTCTTATCCATGTAAGATTCTTGTTGCTTTTGTCTTAAGCCAGCAGGAAAGACTAGATCATTGCAGCTTATCAAAGTCTAGTTGGTTTGATGATGGTCTGTCAGCCCTGATAAATCGTCTAAATCATCTCATAAATGATCAGATTGGACCTGTTAGCAGCCGTGTAAAACTACTGGATTTTCCAGGATGGAATTAAACTAATTTTGTTGCTGTGTATTGCACAGTTGCAATATTTTACTTGTTTTTCCACATTAATATAAAAAATGTAGATCACCATTCATAGCAAAGCCACGAGAAGGCAAAGTGTACTGTGGCATTGGTCAGCATACACTCACATTTTGGTAACGCTTTACAATGAGGTCCCATTAGTTAATGTATTAACTAACATTAACAATGAACAATACGTTTGTTACTATATTTATTATCTTTGTTAATGATCTCTGTTAAAAATACAACTGTTCATGTTAGCTCAAGTCCATTAAATAAAATTAACATAGACAACTTTTGATCTTAGTAATGTATTAGTAAATGTTGAAATGAACTGAGATTAATAAATGCTTTAGAAGTATTTTTCATTAATTCATGTTAGCTAATGTAGTTAACTAATGTTAACAAATAGAACCTTATTGTAAAGTCACCATTATTTTTATTCCATCAAAATCCAAACTGTGCAAAGTCCATTGCAGAAAATATTGAAATGTATATTTTGAATACCCATACACTGAACTTAAAAAGAACTACAAATAATATTGGTATATAACATATCATGATCCAGAAACTGACACAATGTTGTATCACCAGTTCCCTGCTGATCCACAGGTCCCTGCTCATCTTGTAGTTGAATTCATGATGTGAAATAATAAGATATTTTGGGTTTGACTGTTTTTCATTTTATCTTGTGGTGTGTTTTCATCTGTGCAGAGTCAAGAATGTCTATAAGCCAACCTGTGGATTCTTCCAAAACATCCTTCATGCAGAGTATCGGGCAGCTACTGATGTCTACGCTCTTATGTTTCTTACTGATGTGGTGGATTTTATCATCGTCATCTTCGGTTTCTGGGCTTTTGGAGTGAGTAAAGAAAATCTTGCATCTTTAGTCAAAAAATCTTAAAGGAATGCCTACAGGATTTGCATTTGGAATTGCATAATTTGGCATGATTTGGAACAAATCCTTCTCAAGCACTGTGTTGAGTCTGTTCTGTTCTAAGTTAAAACATGAACTCTAAATGCAAATAATAAGATTATGCAACTGCATTTAGGATACCAAATTAAATAGACTTGTTGACTTGAAACCAGTTGAGAACCATTTAAATGTGAAATGTTTGCTCTGTCTCAGAAATACTCGGCGGCAGCAGACATAGCCTCCTCTCTGTCTGAGGACCAGGTCCCCGAGGCGTTTCTAGTCATGCTCCTCATTCAGTTCAGCACCATGATCATTGACCGTGCACTCTATTTGCGGAAGAGCATCTTGGGAAAGCTCATCTTCCAGGTTATACTGGTTTTTGGTATCCACCTGTGGATGTTCTTCATTCTTCCTGCTGTCACTGAGAGGTAAGGGAATCTTCTCCACCTGTGTTCAGATGCAGTTTGAGTATTGGAGAATGTTCACAAATGATTGACTTTGCAATCATCAAAAATCAAGATATTTTTCAAGGAGTATATAATTTTTCTTTATTTTCACAGGATGTTCAATCATAACTCAGTGGCCCAGCTCTGGTATTTTTTCAAGTGCATCTACTTCACTTTGTCAGCGTATCAGATCCGTTGTGGCTACCCTACACGAATCCTTGGAAACTTCCTGACCAAGAAATTCAATCACCTCAACCTCTTCCTTTTCCAAGGGTGGATACTTATTTTTCTTCATTTTTCAGTGTCTTCTTCAAAATACTTTATTTACTAATAGGATGATATAATAACCACCAATATTTTAGATTAGGCTTAAACGTAATTCATTTGTTTCCTCAGGTTCCGCCTCGTTCCGTTTTTAGTTGAGCTTCGAGCAGTGATGGACTGGGTTTGGACAGATACGACACTGTCTCTCTCTAACTGGATGTGTGTAGAGGACATCTACGCTAATATCTTCATCATCAAGTGCAGCCGAGAGACAGAAAAGGTAGAAGGTCCTCTTTGGCATGCTAAAAAATTTCCCACCACACCTCAAATTTTGGATTAGTTTTTCATTTGTTATTCAGGTGTATATATGGTCATATGAACCTAGATAAACAGTGAATGTTTGTGGCAATTTCCAGTCAGAATATACAGTGGGTACGGAAAGTATTCAGACCCCCTTA